TTCAAGGGTCCCTTCCTTAGAATAGGCCCTCTCCCAGGGCCCCCGAGCTTCTGCCATGCCGAAGAGCAGTGGTGGCAGTGACAATGTCCTGTAAAGGTCAGCCCAGGCGTATATGCAGTGAGCAGTCCCTGCCCCTGCCTCCCCACCTGCACCCTTCTCTTCCTACTCTGTCCCCTGAGAGTTACGTCCATTCCTCCTGCTTGCAGCCGCCACCCCCTCAGGCCCATGCTGTCACCATTTCCCCTCCTCACCTATCATGGGCACTGCCAAGTTTCTTCCCAAACATCCGACTTCTCTCCTCTTAGCAGGGTTTCCACTCTTCCCCTTCCTCCAGTCCTTACACCTTAGGGTTACCTTTGTTGTTTTTTTTTTTTTATAAAGAAGTATTTTATTTATTCGAAAGAGTTACAGAAAGAGGTAGAGCCAGAGAGAGAGAGGTTTTCCATCCTGCTGGTTCACTCCCCAGATGACTGCAATGGCCAGAGCGGAGCTGATCTGAAGCCAGGAGCCAGGAGCTTCTTCCAGGTCTCCTAAGCAGATGCAGGGGCCCAAAGACCTGGGCCTTCTTCTACTGCTTTCCCAGGCCATAGCAGGGAGCTGGATCTGAAGTAGAACAGCCAGGTCTTGAACCAGGGCTCATATGGGATGCTGGCACTGCAGGCAGCTGCTTTACCTGCTATGCCTCAGCACAAGCTTATATATAGTTCTTATATATAGTTCTCTTATATATATAAGTTATATATAGTTCTCTATATATTTGTGGGTCCAGCATTTTTAACCTGAAGAGAACATACTTTACAGTCTATGTTGGAGCTTGCTTTTTTTTCCCCACTTAACAGTGTATCTTGAGCATGCTCACATGTCTACATTATAGACCAAGTTTGTTCCTAAGATGATGCCATAGCATGCCACTGTTTGAATGAATGGAGATTATTTTTCCCAAGTTTGGGGTCATCTTTGAAACCATTCTGCTTCCATCACAGTCAGCAGGTTCCCTAAGAAAGCACTTCTCTTTCTCTGCAAAGCCCCAGTCTTCCCTGTCCTGCTGTTCCTTCTCTTGTCCTGACCCCGCCCATTGGACATGATTTCCTGCAGGCCCAGCCTCTGCTGGTTTCCACGCCCAAATGCTCCTTGTGGGGTATAAGCCTTCTTCCACACTCAAAGTGGCCCCTGCTCCTTCCTCCAGGTCAAAGGCCTCTTTTGCCTCCATGACATGACATGATCTCCTGCAGAAATCAGATTTCTGTTCATCAAGTCCCATTCTATCTTTACTTCTTTTTAAAGATTTTTTTATTTATTTACTTGAGAGGTAGAGTTACAGAGAGAGGGAGAGACAGAGAGAAAGATCCTTCATCCACTGGTTCACTCCCCAACTGGCCACAATGACAGCAATGGCTGGAGCTGGGCTGATCCAAAACCAGGATCCAGGAGCTTCTTCCAGGTCTCCCACACAGGTACAAGGGCCCAAGCACTTGGGCCATCTTCCAGTGCTTTCCCAGGCCTCAGCAGAGAGTTGGATTGGAAGTAGAGCAGCCATATGGGATGCCATATGGGATGCCAGTGCCACAGATGGAGGCTTAGCGCACTATGCCACAGCACGGGCCCCTCTTTGTTTACTTTTGGAAGGAATTCTAAGCCAAATATTCTTTGCAGACACTAACCCTCGCCTGGATTTGCTCACTTCTATAAATGGCTTACTTCTATAACTCACATACATGCACGCACACGCAGCGCTGCCCCATCAGTAACTTTCCTGCTAGCAGAGGGGCCGTGGAAATGGGACATGAGCCCTGCTCCAGGTCAGCAAGTCTGGGTTCTACTTTTTCTTTTCACTTTTCTGAGCTCTGTTTTCTCATCTGCCAAGTGCTGCTGATTGTATCAGCCTCTTAGAACTGTGGGGAGAAATGAAAGGAAGCACAAACACCAAAGCTTTGAAATAAGAGCTCACAGCAGACACGAGGATTATGACTCTGTTCCTCTAGAGCAGACTCGGATGCTGACAGGGGCCGTGCACGCCGTGCCCATGCTGGGGATGTGGGACCTCTGGGAGTGGTGGCACTGTGGGCACTGAGGAATGCAGGCCCTATGCCTGCGCTTGCATCTCCACAACAGAATACCACAGACCGGGCGCTGGGCCAACACACACTCAATTCTCATAGCTCTGGACACTGGAAGTCCACGGTCAAGGTGCTGGCAGGTTTGGTTTCTGGCAAGGCTTCTCTCTTTGGCTTGCAGGTGGCAGCCTCCTCCCTGTTGTGTCTTCCCAGGGTCTGATTCCTACTCTCTCCTTCAAATAAGGACATCCACAAAAACTCATTTTACCCTAATAACCTTCTTAAAAGATTCTGTCTCCAAACACAGTTCCATTCTGAGATTCTAGGGGCTAGAACTTCAACATATGAATTTTCCGAACACATAATTCAGCCCATCTCAAGCGTACCCAGCTAGAAGGCAGAATCAGCCTTGCCAGATCTTCCAGGTTCTCAAATAAAACCCAAAACCTTCATTCTGATATAAAATCCCCCAAGTTTTACACTGGCAATATTTCAAAACAAAACCAAAAAGCACAGTGTAGCCTGTGGCCTGCAGATAAGCCAGGGGATCCCCTGTTGTCTGGATTGTCATTTCCCCAGTGGCAGGGCCACGTCCTGAAGCTTTCTAATCTTTCTCAGCTCTTCAAATGGCCACACAGTAAGATCTAGACTAGGTCGAAGCCAGGAGCCAGGAACTCCATCCATGTCTCCCACATGGGTGGCAAGGGCCCAAGTACTTGGGCCATCTTCCACTATCTTCCTAGGCATATTAGCAAGAAGCTGGATGGGAAGTGGAGCTGCCAGGACTTGAACAAGCACTCCAATAGGGGAACCTGGTGAGCATTGCAAGGGTCAGCTTAACCCACTGCACCACAACGTGGGCCCCTAAACACCCTTGTTGAAAGTAGAGCATGGGGCCAACACTGTGTCGTAGCAGGTAAAGCCCCCGCCTGCACTGTCGGCATCCCATATGGGCACCAGTTCAAGTCCCTGCTGCTCCACTTCCAATCCAGCTCTCTGCTATGGCCTGGGAAAGCAGTAGAAAATGGCCCAAGTCCTTGGGCCCCTGCATCTGCGTGGGAGACCTGGAAGAAGTTCCTGGCTCCTGGCTTTGGATTGACACAGCTCGGCCATTATGGCCAACTGGGGAGTGAACCAGTGGATGGAAGACCTCTCTCTCTCTCTCTCTCTCTCTCTCTCTCTCTCTTTCCCCACATGTAACTCTGCCTTTCAAATAAATAAAAATAAATCTTAAAAAAAGTTACAGTGACTATTAAATGACATAATGCAGTAACCAGCCCACAGCAAGCACCCAGGAGCAGTTGTGTTATTCTGACAGAATACTCATTTGGGAGAAGTGAAGACAGAAGCGACATCAGGGGGAAGGTTGCCTCCATGTGTGGATGACCAAGCGGACTGGGTCTGCTGTTGCCTCCTCTGTGCACTGCGGCAATAGTGAGCCTGCAAGGAGGTGAACAGCTGGAAGCGGTGGCATCAATGCCAATGAAGGCAGCTGATGCCCTTTTATAGCATGGGATGAATGCAAAGCTGTGGGATTTCTATAGCTGTGCTCTACTTTATTTTTTTTTTAAGATTTATTTATTTATTTGAAAGTTAGAGTTTTACAGAGAGAAAAGGAGAGGGAGAGGGAGAGGGAGAGGGAGAGGGAGAGGGAGAAGAGAAACGCACTTGCTGTGGCAGACATTTGTTTACCTGTTAGAATAATGAGATCACAGGGGCTGGCATTGTGGCATAATGTGTTAAGCCACCACATGCGACAGTGGCATCCCATATAGGTGTCAGTTCAAGTCACAGTTACTCTACTTCCATTCTAGCTCCCTGCTAATTTGCCTGGGAAAGCAAAGCAGGATGGCCCAAGAGCTTGGGTCCCCGCATCCACCTGGGAGAACGGGATGAAGCTTCTGGCTCCTGGCTTCAGCCTGGCCCAATCCCAGCCATTGAGGCCACCTAAGGGAGTGAACTAGCAAATGCAACATTCTCTCTCTCTCTTGCTCACTCTTTCCCTCTATTTCTTGGTAATTCTGCTTTACATGTAAATAAATCTAAAAAAAAAAAAAGAAGAAGAAGAAAAGAAAAAAATGCACACACTCAACTCACAAGATTGAGAAATTATTTTCCAATAAAATATTACTTAAATAATTATTTTAAAAAAAGAATATTATGATCATGATCGTGTGACTGTAACATAAATACAATATGTAACTCACAATCCACTCACCTTACAAGGTTCTTTGTGAACTTTTTATTTGGAAATTTGTGGTTATTTCAGATTCCACACATAAAGTGAAGCAGTAAACAGTTTTACATCATGTTATTTCAAATTCAAACACTTGCCGGCATCGCGGCTCACTAGGCTAATCCTCCGCCTTGCGGCGCCAGCACACCGGGTTCTAGTCCCGGTCGGGGCGCCGGATTCTGTCCCGGTTGCCCCTCTTCCAGGCCAGCTCTCTGCTGTGGCCAGGGAGTGCAGTGGAGGATGGCCCAAGTCCGTGGGCCCTGCACCCCATGGGAGACCAGGAAAAGCACCTGGCTCCTGCCATCGGATCAGCGCGGTGTGCTGGCGGCCATTGGAGGGTGAACCAACGGCAAAGGAAGACCTTTCTCTCTGTCTGTCTCTCTCTCACTGTCCACTCTGCCTGTCAAAAAAAAAAAAAAAATTCAGACACTTCAAATGAAACCATGCAGTATTTTTTTAAAGATTTATTTATTTATTTGAAAGTCAGAGTTACACAGAGAGAGGAGAGGCACAGAGAGAGAGAGAGGAGAGGTCTTTCATCCACTGGTTCACTCCCCAATAGGCCGCAACAGCCAGAGCTGTGCCAATCCAAAGCCAAGAGCCAGGAGCTTCTTCTGGTCTCCCACGTGGGTACAGGGGCCCAGGGACTTGGGCCATCTTCCACTGCTTTTCCAGGCCATAGCAGAGAGCTGGATCAGAAGTGGAGCAGCCGGGTCTCAAACCGGCGCCATATCGGATGCCGGCACTTCAGGCCATGGTGTTAACCCGCTGCACCACAGCACTGGCCCCAACCATATAGTATTGATTTTCTCATTCTACAGACAAGGAGGCTGAAGCCTAAAGAGGTTAAATAACTCACTCAAGGTCACTGAAGTGAAATGGGAAATTATTGGACAATACAGGGGCCTCCAGCTCAAATCCCACAGGTGGGAAGTCAGGACTGTTTATTCAACTGCAGCTGGTGACAATTACGGTTTTTAAGCAAGGTTTTATGATTTTTTGTACCATGTTTTATTTTCAATATCCATTATCCTTTTTGATTTTCAAAAAGACAGGAAATCATAAAATCATAACAGTGAATGCTTTATAGCTCTTACCATGTGTCAGGCTGTATCCTAGAACACTAAGTCCTCATTACAACCTTCCAAAGTAGGTACTACTAGCAGTCTTTTTTAAAAAGATTTATTTATTTTTTGAAAGGTAAAGTTACAGAGACAAAGAAGGAAGACAGAGAGAGAGAAATCTTCCATCCTCTGGTTCACTCCCCAAAAGGCCGCAATGACTGAGGCTGGGCCAGGCTGAAGCAGGAGCCAGCAGCTTCTTCTCAGGCTCCCATGTGGGTGCAGGGACCCAGGGACTTGAACCATCCTCTACTGCTTTCCCAGGCACATTAGCAGGGATCTGGATCAGAAGTAGAGCAACTGGGACTGGAGCCAGCACCCATATGGGATGCCAGCACTACAGGCCATGGCTTATGCCACTGCACCTAAGCACTAGCCCTTTTTAGGAATCTTAAAAAACTTATGGCAAATGTGCATTATAAATAAATACGCATGGATTTCAAAGTTTTTTGCATTAAAAATAATTTATATTTTCATTCTGTTTTCTATGAACGTTCGGAAGCACTCTTATGTTATTATGTTCCCCACTTTGGAGAAGAGGAGGCTGAGAGAGAAGTCATTTGTCGAAGGTCCCGCAGTAAGTCCCTGGGATTTGAACTCCAGCAAGCACACCAGAGCTTGTACAGTAGCCAGGTGTGACTATTGAGCACTTGCAGTGCAGCCAGTCCCCAGTGAGGCGTGCATACAGTCCATCACTGACTTTCAAAGACTCAGTGCTCGTTAGAGAATGCAAACTATCTCATTAATAGTGTCTGCAGTGATTACAAGTTGACATGATATTTGGGATATACTGGGCTAAGATTAACCTCACCTGCTTTTTTGCTTTTTTTAATGTAGCCATGGGACAATTTAAAATGACTTAATGTGGCTTGCATCGTTTTCCTATTGGGCAGTGCTGCTCAAACACAGTCTTGCATGGCGCCAGCCTGCCACGTGGCGGCTGCATACGGGAATCTGGACACCCTGGGGCTTCCTTCCCACCCATCAGCACAGCAGCCGCGTTCTCTTCTCCCTGCAGTCCTTGGCCTCCTCGTGGTGGAAAACAGTCATGGGCAGATCCCAAGTTTAATGGCTTTGGCTTCAGGCAGCCTTGAGCCTGGCCCTCCTTGTACAGGGGAGTCATCCCAAGGCCCAGAGGGTGGGCCCACTGCCCACCTCCTTGTATGCTATGTTCACTGATGTGAAGTGCACCTATCTGAGGTCTCACTCTTCAGCTTTCATAGCCAGACTGACTTCCGGTGTGTTTTCAGGAATGTTTGCTGGAACAAGCCCCTGGAGATCTTGGTCGTGATTTGTCCTTGGACCTCTTTTTCTAGGCTGAGCCAGAAATAGAGAGAAAACAGCGGGTCACATATTTTCTGGGGCCTCCTGGGCAGTGGGCCCTGTAGCTTGTAATCCTCTGTATTTAGACTCCGGCTGCTGGAGCACTTCCAAATGGGCATTGATCGGGAGATCCCAGGAGAGCGACACTGCGTGAGCACTGTGTGAGGAGCTGCAGCCTGCCTCTTTCTTCCCCGCTCGGTCCCTTTAGCTTTTCAGAGACGCTGGAAAGGGCTGTTTCCAATTGACTTCCTGGAATTCAGGGAGGGCATGGGGTGTTTCTCATTAGAGAATTCTCACTCCCTTCAAAGCGGATTTTTAGTGAACTTCATCCACAAGCAAGCTCTGCTCCACTCCAAACACCAGCCGGGACCCTTTCAACTCCAAACGCTGCTGGATCAGGTTCAGATGTCCTCCGCGCAGGACGAGGTGTACCCAGAAACACTCCAGGGGCTCCCAGTGGGAAGTCAGGACACATCCCTTAGTGGAGCCATAGTGCATGGCAATTACAGTTTGAACAAACGTCTCGCTTGTGTGTCACGTTCTACTTTCTATCTATTGCCGGATTCTCAGAACAACCCTGTCAGACACAGTGGGCAAGCGTCACCGTCTCTAATTTAACAGGTTGGGAAACAGGCCCAGATAAGACAAGGTGACCCATAAGTTATAAAACCAGGACGGGGACCCAGGTGTTAGGAATCCAAGACCCGTCATCTCACTGGTTTTCCACTGTAGCCGAGGGCGGCTTTGTCATACACAAGTTTATCAGAATCCCTGGGGGCCTGGGGTATGTTACAGATTATCAGAATGACACTGCATTTAAGGCTGTTCAACAACTACGTGTTGAATACTTGCTGTATATGGGCACTGTGCTCAGTTCTGCTGGTACAACAGAGTGACAGGCAGAGCCTCCGTATTCCTGGGTCCTCTAGAACCTTCCACAGCTAAGAGACAGTCATGTCAAGGGAAGACACACACATAATCACACCAGGGGACCAGGGGTCAAGTGCTTTGAATGGAAGAACAGGGGCATAGAGAGCAGGGTTGGGTGGGACATTTCGGACCTTGTGATGGGGCAGGCCTCCCCGGGGCACAGACACCTGGGGCTGGAAGGAGGAGTCAGCACCTGTATGAAGGCGTCTGAGAAGCTTGGGGTCAGCGTTTCTAGAGGTGTCCCCTCCACTTTTAGTGCCACACACAGAGCGGAACAGGAGGACTTTGCAAGCATCACCTCTGGCCCGAGCTAAGCAGACCATTCTCTCCACTGAGAATTCGGGAAAGCAGGTGGCTGGGTTTCCCATGACTGTCCACCATCAAGTTAAACACCACCCTACCCGTCAACAGGTCAATACCTAACAACCAACAGGTTGAATTTTTTTGTGCATGATTAATACATTCCATTCTCCAAGGGGAGACTGTTGCACTGTCAGGCTTAGCAGCCTTGCTCAAGGCCCAGACAAGTGTCCCTGGAGCTCCCACTGGCAGACCACATTCTGGGAGGGCCAGTGAAAGATCAACACCCCCACTTCTGCCCTTCTCACAACCAGTCTGGGCAGAGGGCTCTTGGGAAGCGGTCAGGGGGGCTGTGTGCTGTGGGCCAGGGACAAAGGGGAGGAAGAGGAAGAAGTCTGTGGACTTGAGGCTTCGGCACTCAAGCTCCTAGGATTTTCCTAGAGCATGTGTACCTAGGAATCCTTAGCTGCTTAACCCAGAGGTGAGAAGCCCAAAACTGAGAAAATCAAAGCTAGACAGAACTCATTCAAGTTTGGCACCTTGTGATTCTATTTCTAAAGTTTAACCGTCTTTCTTTCTAAACTTCTATTTCTACTTATTTATTCAAGAGGCGAGGGACAGAGACAGTCAGCTAGTTCCCTTCTGCTGGTTCACTCCCCAGTGGACCAGAGCTGCGCCTGGGAGCTGGGAAATCAATCCAGGTCTTCCATGAGAGAGGCATCACCAGTGCCTCCCGGAGCCAGCACTGGTAGGAAGCTGCCATCCGGAGCCGGAGCTGGGCACTGATACGAGATGCAGGTGTCCCAGCCAGCGCCTGAGCTCCCAGGTCCTACACCCAGCCCCCACCTACCAAGTCCCCCTTCAGCAGGAAGACTTAATGAAACCTTCTCCATTCACCTCTCACCTTTCCGCTCGCAGACGATGACTTAGGGACCAGGATGGGTGTCTTAAAGACAAGCAAGGACTGGACACTAGAGCTTCCAGGAGCATCAGCTGTGTAGGGCTGTTCCGTGAACCCAGCCCTCCTCCTGCTCCTGTACTCCAGGGAGTCAAAAGGAAGGAGGGCTGAGGTCTGGTTTGGGTTAGAAAAATCAAGAGAAGAATGAGAATTAACTGAGGCCATGGGAGCTCGCAGACCCAGACAGCTAGGCAGGGAGAGCCGAGGGAAGGAGCTGAGGGCCAGGCATGTAGGGCCTTGTGAGCTGTGACAGGGTCCCGGTGTCTGCTATGTGCAGTCAGTGGCTACTCGAGGGCTTGAGGGGAGATGTGGCTGATCTGTGCTTTTAAACATGGGGCACACAAGGAGGTGCACGGGGCAGGGAGCCCTGGGAGGGGGCTCTTGCAGGGGCCAACCAGGGAATGTGCACTGGGGCACGCTTCGTGTACCCTGATCTTGTGGCTCAGCCCTTGGGGACACCCCCACTAACACCCAAAGGGGCTTGTGGTGGGGAGTTGGCCTAGGGGGCTGCCTGGCCCCATCACCTTGGCTAAGCGAAATGTGGGCTTCTCGAAGGACAGGAGGCTTTCTCAAGCATCGAGGAAGCTGACGGAGGAAAAGCTGCCCTCTCGCATCTTCAAAGTCATGGTGTGTGTGTGTGTGTGTGTGTGTGTGTGTAAAATAAAATACAGATATCTGAGAAGTTTCTCTTGCTGGGCATGGTGTTCCCAGCTCCCAGAGAAACCTCTTCAAGGCCTCTTCTGTAATTTGGGCTATTTGAGAGGAAAAATATCTAAGAAATGCTGCCATCGTGGGAAGCATTTGGGCACTGGGCGTGGTCAAGTCCCAGTTCATCTATGACTTCTGCCGCCGACTAGCTGTGCAACGTGAGCAAATTCTCCTGAGTCTCAGCTTCCTCCTCAGTGCAGCAGGAGAAGCAGCAGCAGAAGGAGCAAGGTGCAGGGGACGGGCGCGGTCTTCAGCGACGCTCAGACAGGAGTCCCGGAGTTGCCTCCGTTTTCCTCCTCTGAGAAACAGAGGAGTAAGCATGTGCCTTTACAGGGTTTACGGGAAACCTCAAGTACAGCAGGGTAGGCAAAGGGCACTGAAGCCTACCCAGGCAGCGGACACTGAGACTCTCTGGACAACACAGCCTCCTCCCTCTCTGGGGAGTGTGTGGCCGGGAGGCCCGAAGAGAGAGGGGTCTTCAGCTGTGGCAGATCGTTCCTGTCTCCTGCCTCCCTCCATCCAAGGGCCTCCTTCCCACCCGTTCATCTTTGCAGAATCCTCACCTGCAAATGCTTGCAGGTGGGAACTTTCCAGACCCTTTTTTTTTTTTTTTTTTTTTTTGACAGGCAGAGTGGACAGTGAGAGAGAGAGACAGAGAGAAAGGTCTTCCTTTTTCTGTTGGTTCACCCCCAAATGGCCGCCGTGGCCGCCGCGCTGCAGCCGGCGCACCGCGCTGATCTGATGGCAGGAGCCAGGTGCTTCTCCTGGTCTCCCATGGGGTGCAGGGCCCAAGGACTTGGGCCATCCTCCACTGCACTCCCGGGCCACAGCAGAGAGCTGGCCTGGAAGAGGAGCAACCGGGACAGAATCCGGCGCCCCCAACTGGGACTAGAACCCGGTGTGCTGGCGCCGCAGGCAGAGGATTAGCCCATTGAGGCATGGCCGGGCCCCCTCCAGACCCTTTCAAACCTGCTTTGAAATTTCGGTTTCTATTCTGGAGGGCTCAGCTATGCCGCAGCCCAAAAGAACAGCAATCAGATTCCAAGACTCTCATCAAGCAGCCCAGGAGAGGTGGGTTCACGGGGTCTGGGAAGTGTCCCAGTGTCCTGGAAGCACCTGTCATCTGGGTGACATTACCATGAGGTTTGCCAGGACTGCCTGCCGCCTCTTCTGTTATCCATGAAACATACGTGCAGCAAGTGCAGCATCAGAAATATAATCAAACTGCCTCCCTTTTTTGCCTCCCTTGGCCCCTTTATAATTTATCTAGTGGAAGGGAGCCAGTCTCTTCCCCCTGGTTGAAGTCTGCTCCTCAGCAAAGGTGTGAAGCTGGCAGGGCCAGCTGTGCCCTTCTCGGCTCGCCTCTGTCCAGGTTTAGGGGAGGAGAGGTGAGGGGCCGTGGGAGGATTCCTGCCATCTTGTGGCTGGGTCGGGAGCCTCACCACCCTGCATCTCTGGGCCTCGTAGATGTGTGCAGCTGCTCTTGTGGGGGGCTGTTCTCATGGCCAGTCCTTTGGGGGTCCCCACATTTGGCCTGTGATGTGGGTGATGCACATTGTCCTTTCACTGATAAGGGGAGGCTCCCCTGGGTCACATCAGGGGCTTGCTGGTGTTCATCCAGGCTGGTTATCAATACTGGGGCCCGCACTGCCTATCAGGACGCCTCTGACCCAGGCCAACTCCTATCACAGGCAGGATGTCTCTCTGGGATTTCCATCGACGATGGGGGCGGGGCACAGGGGTACCCATCCCCTTCCACAGAGCAGCAGTATCCTCTCTCTCTCTCTCAGTACAAGATCCTCCTGCGTTCACCCACTAAGTCATCCTTTTGCAACACCAAAACCAACACGTCACTCTGCTGCTGAATCTCTCTTTACATGATGTTCTGGGCCTTCTTTGCCCCTGGTAGCAGCTCTGGCCCTGGCTCTGTGTTCCTGTCTGGGGGCTGCTAAGGTCCAAAGGTACATTTGTGGGAGCTGCACACCGTGTGTAGAGTGAGCCCTCAGCCATGCAGCAGGCTGCAAAACAAAGGCAGGTTCCACAGGGGACCCAGCAGCACTCCTGGCAGAACTGCCACCCTCCCAGTCAGAGCCTGCTCTCTGCTGGACAGTTCCCGCAAACACAAGGGTCTTTTGTCACCACTCACCTTCATCAGTGAAAAATATAAACCCTCTCTCTCTCTGCTGCTATGAGTTTGACTATTAGACTCATACAGGATTCCATCGGTGCCTGGCTTAGTTCACTTAGCATAATGTCCTCTAGGTTTAGAGACGCCATTACCAATGGCAGAACTTCTTTTTTCGGGGCTGGTGTTATGGCACAGTGAGGCAAACTACCACCTACAATGCCAGCATTACATACTGGAGTGCCAATTCAAGTCCCAGCTGCTCTGGTTCCAATCCAGCTCCCTCCTAATGTGCCTGGGAAAGCAGTGGAAATGGCCCAAGTACTTGGGCCCCTGCCACCCACATAGACCCAGATGGAGCTCCAGACTCCTGGCTTCGTCCAGGGGGCCAGCTCCAACCATTGCAGCCATTTGGGAAGTGAATCAGAAGATGGAAGGGGTGTGTGTGTGTGTGTGTGTGTGTGAATCTGGCTTTCAAATAAATAAATAAATAAGTCTAACTGGCCCTATTTTAAGGGCCAGTATTGTGGCATAATGGGTTAAGTCACCACCTGCAATGCCAGCATCCCATATGGGCGCCCGTTTGAATCCCAACTGCTCCACTTTGGATCTAGCTCCCTGCTAATAGCCTGGGAAAGCAACAGAGGATGGTCAAGTGTGTGAGCCCCGTACCCACATGGGACACCTGGATGAAGCTCCTGGCTCCTGGCTGTGGCTTGGCTCAGCCTCCGCTGTTGTAGCCATTTGGAGAGTAAACCAACAGATAGAAGATCTCCCTCTCTCCCTCCCTTCCAAACTCATTGAATAAATCTTCAAAAAAGGGAAAAAATTCCTGTTTTAAAGGCTCAATAATATTCCACTGTGGATATTGACTGCATTTTCTTTATCCATTCATCTCTTGATAAACACTTCAGTTGCTTCTGCATCTTGACTATTGTGAAGTGCACAGGAGAATGCAGGTGTCTCTTTGAGATCCTGACTTCAGTTCTTTTGGATACATACCCAGACCTGGGATTGCTGCATCCTGGCGTTTTTCTATTTTGAAAGGTTTAACGAGCCACAATACTGTTTTCCACCGCTGCTGTACCAGTTTACATTCCTACCTCCCTTTGCTATTGTCTCCCCTTAATATGATGGTAAAATTCTACTTTCTGCTGTTGGTGAGGTGCCTGATTCTCAATAATTAATTTGCACATATAGTGTTTCTTTTTACAATTTTCTTTATCTGTTATTTATAAGGCAGAGCAACAGAGTGGAGGAGGGCTGGGAGGAGATGATCTCTGTGAGCCTAACACGTGATCTCCAGTGAGCTCGTGCTGTTGTTGCCAAGAGCCTTAAGGGCACAGCCTAGCCTGGGGCAGGCGGACACAGGCTCTGGTTCTGGATGGCTTTGTCCAAACTCCAGCCCTGCCACCTGCTAGTAGCATCACTTGGACACACTACTCACCCTGCCTGAGACACCACAGCCTCACCTCTTCCTAGGAGTGTTGTGATGACAGAGCAATGTGTGGAGAGCTCCGAGTATGGAGCTGGCACACAGGAAGCACTGGGAAGAGCAGCTGGAGCCGTGGCTGGCCAGCGCCATGTAGGTGATGGTCCACATGCATGTGGCAACACAAGCCTCAGCTCTCCCCTCCTGCAGCCTGAGTTCCCCCAGGAGAAGCAGCCTCGTTGCAAACCACCCCCTACAATTTTCAGTATTTCTGCCCTTGTGACTTTGCGTGTATGCCGCATATGGGAATGAATGCAGTGATCCTTCCAGCCACAGTCCTGCCTTCCCCCTGGTCCTGCTTTCCTTTCGTCCACCCTACAGGACAAGGTGATGCTGAGGGCCTCACTGTCAAGGCTGCTCCACACTGTGTTTTGGGCACATGACTCAGCTCACCCAGTGTGTCCCCAAGACAGGACGCCAATGACCAGCTAGCACGTGATGCAGGAAACAGCAAAGGTCACAAATACAACTGAGGCTGTGCCAGCTGCCTCCTCCTCCTGACGGCCACCCTCACCTGCCACTGCTCTCTTACCTCCCACAGGTGGCCACCATGATCCCCTGGGTGCTCTTGGCCTGTGCCTTCCCCTGTGCTGCTGACCCTCTGCTCGGTGCCTTCGCGCGCAGGGACTTCCAGAAGGGCTCCCCTCAGCTTGTCTGCAGCCTGCCGGGCCCTCAGGGTCCACCTGGCCCCCCAGGAGCCCCAGGGCCCTCAGGAATGGTGGGAAGAATGGGCTTTCCTGGCAAAGATGGCCAGGATGGCCAGGACGGGGACCGGGGGGACAGCGGAGAGGAAGGTAAGAAGCCCTGCCCCTGCCCCTACTATCTCCACCCAAGGTTGACTGTATCTGGTATGGCAGGCATTGTGAAATTACTAAAACTGGTATTAATCCCTTCCATTGCAAACAAATACAATATGTCTTTATAAACAGAGCAGTGTATTCTGAGAAAACAGTGAGTATCAAACTTTCTGTCCTGCCCCTGCTGCACCTTGGGTTTGCTAAGTGACTTTGACATATTATTCAGAACTCTTTTGGTTGCAAATGACAGAGGCCCAATTGATAGTCCCAACTAGAATTTATTGACTCATGAAACCGGGAAATTCAAGAGCCAAGCTTCAGGAAAGGCTAGATCTAGGAGCTAAATACCCTTGTCAGGGCTCTGTTTCTCTGTATTAACCACCCTCTCACAAAGGCTGGAATGTCTGAAATGGCAACTGGTGGGGTCAAGCCTGCGTTCTCATGGCCTTGATCCACAGACTATCTCAGGATGACACATTCTTCTTAGCCACATGTGTTTTCTGGACCAATGTCTTTGATCACAGAGGTAGGGTACCACCATTTGCTAGGACAGGTGGTGAGGACAGGTGGCTACCTTGAAGTAGTGAAGGGCAGTTCCCCAAAGGGCACACAGCAATTAGGTGGGTGCTCCCATGGGCCCCTGGGCTTTGACATTCTTCACCTCTCTGAACTTTCACCAGCACGTTGCAGGTTCAGCAGCATCCCCCCAGAAACATTTCAAGCAGTAGCAAAAGTTTCATGGCTTTAACTGCATGGCAATGTAATAGTGGCCAAGCACCTTTGACAGGTTGCTCATCTGCCCAGCAATAGCTCTCTGTAAAGGAGGTATTCTATGATCTCACACTGCCCGTGAGCAGAACCATGAGATTACACTGAGAACAGTGTGTCATAACTGCAGGAACTTGAATTTTGGAAACAAGGCTGGATATCAGCTCAGCAAATGCCTTGACCTCTTTCTAAACCTCAGTGTTCTCATCTCTAAAACAGGGACAGTAATGGCACCTGCCTCACAGGGTTGTAAGGAAATGAAACAGTGCGTGAAGTACCAGTCTCCGAGTAGGCATCCATCAGTGCTGGTTACTCCATAGCCAACTTACCAAGCTCCTATAGCAGGCTGTGGGCAGACCCTAACCTGGCCTTCACCTGCTATACCAAACTAACTCTTCCAAAAGTACCTCTTGGCCAGAAGAAAATCTGTAAAACCATGATGGTGGCTTTGACTCATAGAGATCAAGTGCGCCACATACTGCGTATAGGTGGAACTCAAGTGTATGTCCACAGAATCCACAGTAGATGTTCCCCAAGATCTGTCTTATGCATCCCAAGGGAGTGGGGCTCTGCTGACGACTTTTCCCGCTGGGTCAGGAGTTCGAGGGTGTGAGTTTGGGCTACATCTGTCCGCTTCTCCTGCCACACAAACACTCCAAAGCAAGCAGCGTTGAGAGATGGGGAGTCCTCATGTGTAACCCAGAGAAAGGCGGGCCCACGGGGCTGGCTCAGGATGATATGCGCCTACCCTCCAGCACCACACACACACACACACGCACACACGCAAGCCCACCTCCACCTCCAGACAGGGCTTGGAAAGGGAAGTCTGTTCTTCCTGAAGCCTCTGGCAGGGGGCATCCAGAAAGACGCTGGCCACAGGAGGGAGCTGCAGAGAGCTTCTGGCTCAACCTCCTTTTCCATTTGTCTCCCTCCAAATCCCCAGCCCAGTACCACGCTGTCTCTACTCCTTCTCTTCTCGCGATGCCTTCTCCCACCTTTTGGTATTTCTTGTTTTCCAGGAACAACTGTGTGACCTTTCTTCCTTCTGTTTTGTCCCCATTCTTTTCATTGATTTTTAATTATGCAAGTAATGCACAAAAGCACTCTCGCTGTAATCTGTTCAAACAGTGCAAACACAGCTAAGGCCCTAATTGCTACCCCTTGCCATTCTCCCTGCAGCCTCCAGAGGCAGCCACTAGTGAAGGGTTAGATGTGGTCATCCTTTGTGCATTCACAAATGGGTATAAAACCCCAGTTGTTGCCAGGCACTCAACCTAAGAACTCCGCCCCTGACCATTAGATGTTCAGGAAGAAAACACCATTTGGAAACCAATTTCTCCAATTATTTAAAATAGGAAATATTTACATATGTTACATATTAACCCCAAACTCTAAAATCCATGCAGTGCCTTCACACAAGGGTACTTCCCTAAGCTCAAGAACAAATGGAATTAAAAATAATTTTAAGAGCCAGCATTTGGTGCAGTGGTCAAGGCATCGTTGCAATGCCCGAATTCCACACTGGGTTGCTTGAGTTTAGTCCTGGCTCTGCTCCCGATTCCAGCCCCTGCTAAACTACACCCTGGGAAGCAGCACTGATGACTCGGGTTGCATCCCTGCTACCCGTCTGAGAGACCTGCATTGAGTTCTTGCCTCCTGGCTTCAGCCTGGTCTAACCTGGGCTATTGCAAACTTTGGGGAAATAAAACAGGAAATGAAATTTCTGCCTTTCTGTCTATCTGTCTCTCTCTCTCTCCCTTTCAAATAATTACAACAAAAAAATTGAAATTTTTGTGCACATTTGAAATCCATGTAGTTTTTTCATAATATGCATTTTCCTTGAGCTTTTTTAAGATGCTGCATATGCAAGGATTTCTAAATTTTTCCAGCAAAATGAACCTATCTTTAATTCTGTTTTCTACAAACATTTTGAAGTGCCTTATAATACAAGTAAGAAAAAAGCAGTGTTTTAGGATGTAAAATGCCTCAAATATCGCTCCTTGATGCCCCATGTGGTGGTGACTAGCAGTTGCCTCCTGTCCAGTGACAGTGGGAGGCTGGCAGCTCCAGCAAGCTTCCAGAGCAGCTCGCGTGGCAGCCAGCCTGCTTTTCAAAACATCTACACCCAGTTCTGCCATTCTACCATGTGTGCAACTGTATTCAGATGCCATGCAAATCCTTATATATTTTTTGGTTTAAAATGTTATATTGGGACTGGCATTGTAGCACAGCAGATAAAGCTGCTGCCTATGATACCAGCATCTCATATGGGTACTAGTTCACATCCTAGCTGCTCCACTTCCAATTCAGCTCCTTGATAATGGCCTGGAAAAAGCAGTGAAAGGTGGCCCAAGTGTTTGGGTTCCTGCCACCCACATAGGATGAAACTCCTGGATCCTGGTTTTGGCCTGGCCCAGCACTGCAGCCACTTGGAGAATGGATCAGTAGATAGATCTCTGTCTGTCTCTCCCTTTCTCTTTGCAACTCTTCCAAAATAAATAAATATTTAAAATAAAATATTACATTGAGTTGAGAGGTCATAAATATAATATCCTCTATATAACCAATGGCCAAAAATGTTACATTGAGAGAAACCTACATTTTATGCAAAAAGAACATGAAAAAGCAAAGGTATTCTACAGGAAAACACTGTGGGACGGATGTTCTGTAGGATGTGCCATCTGCGACTCAGTGAGTGTTTACCCCAGGCCAGGCACTCTTCTGCACATCTACATGGGTATAGAAGTATTTAGCATTGTGGTTTCCTTTCAACAAAAAGAGTTCAGCCACCTGCTGTTTCCTCCTAACAGTATAGTATAAAGAAAGCTTCCCATAGTGTGTGAAAATCTACCTCATTTTTTAAACTCCTGCATAGAATTCCACAGCATAGAACATAATTCTTTAATCACTTCCTCCAGGTAGGCATTTAGTTGTTCTCTCCTCCAGTTCAATCCTCAAATGTCTACAATGGCTGATGCTGGGCCAGTGCCAAAGCTGGAAATTCAATTCAGCTCTGCCATTTGGGAGGTAGGAACTCAATTACTTGAGCCATCGCTGCTGCCTCCCAGGGTCTGCACTGGCGAGAAGCTGGAGTCAGAAACTGAATCCAGGTATTCCAATCTGGGGTGCAGGTGCCTTACCCATTGGGCCAAACACCTGCTCCCTGCTGTTCTGTCTTGCTACTGTGACAAGGCTGCAGCAAAAACCCTGTGCACATTGTCCAAACTCTTGTGCACCAGGCAGGGATTTTATCAAGATTGATGTATTAAAGCCAAGAGAGTCCTCCCATTCCCTTCTCAACTAGCACAGTCCACGGGAGGACTGATCTGGCAGACAAAGCAGACTCTGCAAATTGTAACGAGCCATTCTTTTTGCCTCCATCCGCCACGACTCTGCCACATAAGTGTCAGTGTTCCCATTTTCCAGATGAGACTGAGAGTGGCCCAGGTTACACCATCGAGATGTGCACCCATTTCTGAGTGACTCCAAAGCCTTCTTGTTTTTTCCATTACCCAGAGGCTCCTGCACCAAGGATGGAAGGCCAAGGCCCACAGCTTGTGTCTGGGCCTGTGAGGGCCCCTCCATAACACCAGCTGCTCTGTCTTCCAGGTCCACCTGGCCGGACAGGTAACCGGGGAAAGCCAGGACCAAAGGGCAAAGCCGGGGCCATTGGGCGGGCTGGCCCTCGCGGCCCCAAGGGGGTCAGTGGTGCCCCCGGGAAGCATGGCACTCCAGGCAAGAAGGGGCCCAAGGGCAAGAAGGGGGAGCCGGGCCTCCCAGGCCCCTGCAGCTGCGGCAGTGGCCGTGCCAAGTCGGCCTTCTCGGTGGCAGTGACCAAGAGCTACCCACGGGAGCGGCTGCCCATCAAGTTTGACAAGATTCTGATGAACGAGGGTGGCCACTACAATGCATCCAGCGGCAAGTTCGTCTGCAGTGTGCCAGGGATCTACTACTTCACCTACGACATCACGCTGGCCAACAAGCACCTGGCCATCGGCCTGGTACACAACGGCCAATACCGCATCCGGACCTTTGATGCCAACACCGGCAACCATGACGTGGCCTCGGGCTCCACCATCCTGGCTCTCAAGCAGGGTGATGAGGTCTGGCTGCAAATCTTCTACTCAGAGCAGAACGGCCTCTTCTATGACCCATACTGGACCGACAGCCTCTTCACAGGCTTCCTCATCTACGCTGACCAGGACAACCCCAATGAGGTGTAGACAGGCGGTGCTGGGCCTCCAGGACAACCCCAATGAGGTATAGACGGGCAGTGCTGGGCCTCCTGGCAGGAGACAGCTTCAGGACTTGTGCTGACTGAGCAAAACCCCCAAACTGGGGGCTGGGGGCTGGGAGGCACGGGGGCTCCTAGCCTCAGGCTGACCTCTACTTCTTTTTTCCTTCATCATTAAATCCAAGTATTTTTATTCATCCATCCATCTGTTTGTTCTTTTTTTTTTTTTTTTTTTGTATCTACAGTGTAACAGGCACTGTGCTACACTCTGGAAAATATGCAGTGAGCAGGACAGACTGACTCTGTCTCTGTGGGGTTCCCCTTCTAGATGGAGATCCAGTTTATCAATAAACAAGCAACCAACACAACTATTACGCCAGGATGGGAATGAACACACCGTGGTTGACGGTGACAGCAACAACAGGAGACAGGGAAGAAGCTGAATTTTTTTTTCACTTACAGTGAGTCTGCAAATTTTCATGTGCACACCTTGTAACTGCCTTGTAGCTAAAGAGCAAACTATTTCCAGCCTTGCGGTGCTAGCATCCTATGTTGAAACGCTGCTCCATTCCTGATCCAGCTCCCAGCTAATGTGCTTGGGAAAGCAGCAGAAGGTGGCCAAGTTCTTAGGCCCCTGCCACCTATGTGGGAGATCCAGAAGGAGTTCCTGGCTCCTGGCTTCAGGCTGGATCAGCCCTGGATGTTGTGGCCATCTGGAGAATGCACCAGTGGACAGAAGTCCTCTATTACTCTCTCTCTCTCCATTGCTCCACCTTTCAAGTGAATAAATAAATATATTTTAACATGCATTTATACACCTAACCTGCTGCACATCCTTGTTCAGCAATACGGTGTACCTGGAGCATTGGTTCTTTCCCCTTGTGATCGTGGAACTGACTGCCGCTGATAGCAAGAGTAGCATACAACAACTTCTCACTAGCCCAGGAAAGGACCAAAATTCAACACATAAAGTACAGGGTTTTTTTAATGTATATTTTATTGATTTCATCCACTTCAAAGACAAGTGCCCACAAGATCCTGGGCTCAGCCAGGCCAAAGCCAGAGGCCTTGAACTCCATCTAGATCTCCCATGTGGGTAGCAGGGCCCGAGCAATTTGGCCATCATCTGCTGCCTCCCAGGTTGTTAGCAGGAAGCTGGACTGCAGGCGGAGGGGCTGGGACTTAAACCCAGGCTCTCCGGTGCTAGATGTGGACATCCCAAGCAGCAGCTGAACCTGCTGCCCCAAAATGCCCACTCTTTTTTTCTCCTTAAACCTTCTGAACACAAGGATACTTTTTATATTTTAATTTGTAGTTATGAGGAGCTGTCGCTGTGGTGTAGCAGGCAGGGCCGCTGCCTGCAGCGCTGGCATCCCATATGGACACCGGTTTGGGTCCTGGCTGCTCCACTTCCCATCAGGCTCTCTGCTGTGTCCTGGGAAAGCAGTAGAGGATGGCCCAAGTCCTTGGGCCCCTACACCCACTTGGGAGACCCCGAGGAAGATCCTGGCTCCTGGTTTCAGATCAGTGAAGCTCTGGCCATCATGGCCAATTGGGGAGTGGACCAGCAGATGGAAGACTTCTTTCTCTCTCTCTCTCTGCCTCTCCTTCTGTCTCTGTGTAACTCTTTCAAATAAATAAATAAATCTTTTAAAAAGATAAAATAAATTTGTAATAGAGAGAGAGAGAGAGAGAGAGAGAGAGAGAGAGAGAGACACTCCTATCTACTGGTTTGCTACTCAGATAGATGCTCACAACATCACAACAGTTGGGACCGGACCAGGCATGCGATCCAGGTCTGGCAGGAACCCAGCTACTTGAGGGATCAGCCACTACTGCCTTACAGAGTTCACCTTAGCAGGAAGCTAGAGTGGGATATGGAACCCAGGCACGCTGATATGGGATGTGGCCCCACACCCACCCGTGAAATACAGCTTTTACTGAATGCATGTTGTTCTTGCATCATCATAGAATAAGACATAAGAATTGTGAGTCAAACCATCCTACACCAGGGATTCATCTGTCCCAGGAAGAGGTGAACTTTTAAATGGAGTCCTGAAGCAGGACATAGCATTGAGAAGGGCTAGGGCAGCGGTCTTCTGGCCAATGGAGCAGCAAGTGCAGAGGCCTCAACACAAGAAATAAGTGACTGAGGGCAGAGCGAGGGGCAAGATGAGAAACAGAAAGGCAGTGTGAGGCTGGAAGGTGAACCAGAACCTCACAGGCCACGGCAGAGTTCATGGTACTCAAGAGAATACAAGAGTGAGCATGGCATCAATTGGGGATAACCTTGAGCCCAGGCACAGCGTGAGTTGCCCACCACAGGCGTGAGCACTTCACTGGTAGCCACAGGTCACCTGCAGGCCTGCTTCTCACTGAGGGTATTCACGCTCACACGAGAGCCACAGCCCCAAGAAAGCAGGAACGGGGATCGCGCACAAGGCAGTCTCGCTCCTGGCCCACTCCTTTGCAGTGTGCAGCGATGTGAGGGCCAACGAAGCCGCCGTACAGTGGCTGGTGCTGCCAGAGCCCCACAGAGCAGCTGCCACAGCGGCACTTCCCTGGCCACTCCTGATCAACCCCCCAGGGACAGGGGACACTGCTCAGGGTGGCCCTGGAAGCCCCAGAGCACAAGTAAGTAAAATGGGATTTATTTCAAGTAACTCTGCTCTCACTGGGCCACAAACAGGATCGGAATGGAATGAATCGGAGATGCCCAGGCAGGAGTTTGGGGCCCAAGGGGATCAATGTGTGTGCTGGGGTCCTGCCCCGAGCCCCTGCCAGAAGGAACTGGCCTCTGAGCCGGAAAGGCACCTTTGTGAACAGATTTTTTTGTTCTTTCCCTTTCTCTCCCTTAAAAAAAAAAAAAAAGTTTTTAAGAGTGCCCTTAGCACTTTCTCTTCCTTATTCCTATTTGGAGGCAGTCAATTTAACCCTTTGTAGCCTGGGTAATAAATTCAGCCTGAGCAAGTTGGAGGGGCCCCTGAAGCTCTGTTATTTCACTACTGGGTTTGGCCTCCAAAGTCGGGCCACCCGTGACAGCCTCCGAGAACACTCAGGGAGAGTGATGGGGGGTGGGGGTGCCCAGCACTTTACGTGGGAGTGGGACAGGCAGAGGCAGAGTGCGTACAGGGCCCAGGGCTGGGGTCTGGTGTCCTTGGATACAGTCCGGGGCTGCTGGACATGGCGGGTTTGCAGCAGAAGTGGGTGATGACACTGAGGGGACTCTGGTATCCGGCTGATGGCAAGGCTGGGCCCTCATTTACCGCCTAGCATGCCCAAGGGTGGCCACCTCCTTGGCCTTGGGGGGCTATCTGGAGTACTCAGGCAGATGATACCAAATGGGGGCCCAATGAGGCAGGTGCCCCAAGAAGGTGGCTTTGCCGGGCACCTGGGGCCCCTGCCCCCTCTGGCCACTTCCTGTGGGCCTCAGCAGCCAAGCTGGCTTTCAGCCTTCACAGGCAGAGCCGATGAGGAGGACACAGAGCCCAGGGCTTCACTGGGCAGTAAAAGCACCCTGACCAAAACATCTGTTCTCATTCGCGACCCTCTGAGAGGCTGCTGTCCCCTTCCAGAGAAATTCTGGAAACCCTGTCACACTGGCTCCTACAGTACACAAAACACCAGACCCACACTGAGCTACCACAGCTGGCCCTCCCCTCCCTGGGCCTCAGGGCCCCCCTGACAGGTGAGGGAGGTGCACTCCATCTACCTAGGGGGTCTCTATGTACTGACCTCAGCATCGGATTCGTGACTGGGAGACACACCCAACATGCACAGTCATCTATATAAATAATATTGAACTCAGTACTTTCACAGGTAAAAGTGACGGCAGCATGTTCAATGATGGACAAACACATCAAAATTTTAAGTGAATGGCCGGCACCGCGGCTCACTAGGCTAATCCTCCGCCTTGTTATGCTGGCACACCGGGTTCTAGTCCCGGTCGGGGCGCCGGATTCTGTCCCAGTTGCCCCTCTTCCAGGCCAGCTCTCTGCTGTGGCCAGGGAGTGCAGTGGAGGATGGCCCAAGTGCTTGGGCCCTGCACCCATGGGAGACCAGGAGAAGTACCTGGCTCCTGCCATCAGATCAGCGCGGTGCGCCGGCCGCAGCGCGCCAGCCGCGGCGGCCATTAGAGGGTGAACCAACGGCAAAAGGAAGACCTTTCTCTCTGTCTCTCTCTCTCACTGTCCACTCTGCCTGTCAAAAAAAAAAAAAAAAAATTAAGTGAAGACAGGATCCGACAAGGCTGGGATTAGACTGGAGAGGGAAATGCTCTTCACCCTGCCTGTCATATTCTCTGGTGCCACTAGGGGGAGAACGTCTACTGCACTAAGCGCCAGCCCAGAGGCACCGAGGCTGAGATTTCCCTAGTCTCCTAAATAGGCTGATTTCTACTTTCAAAGACAAAAATGAGAGATCTAGGCCCACAGTACTCTGTGGACATGACGCTGAGCTGGAAAAAAGGAAATGACTAAGGAAGCAAGAGGTGCACCTGCTCCTCATGCTGCCAGATTTGACTGTCAAATGCTCAGGCAGCCTGGGCTAGCGCAGGGATACAGCTGCTGGTGGCCAGGAGGCTAGAAAGCTGGGCTCCAGCCCTGCTCTGTCGTCAGATTCCTTGGGTGACTTTGACCACATCATGGAACAGCTGGTGCCTTCAGTTTCCCACCCATAAAAGGAAGGGCTGGGCTAGATAATCTCCAAACCCAAAGCAGAGCCAGAAAAGGAGCCTAAGACTCCGAAGACACTACTGACCTAAGCTACATGCATCAGTGCAGCCTGCTCTGAAAGGCTGGGTGTTCTCCTGGGGCCTTCTGCTCCCACTGCTCCACAGACGACTCAGCAGCCGCTGCTACCAGGCTTCCTGAGCTGGAGCCCATGCAGTGCCTTCACTGACCGTCAGCCACAGGCTGCACTTCACAAGCATCGACTTCCCACCTTCCCAGCATCCCCGGAAGCAGGTGTGTCCTCTCTCCACAGGTGCAGTTCTAGAAAGGTCAGTGCCAAAGGTCACCTGGCTGGTAAGTAGCATAGCCAGGACTAGAATGGGGCACTTTTTTAAAATAAAGAGAGAGAGAGAGATATCTTCCATCCGCTGGTTCACTCCCCAAATGGCTGCAATGGCCAGGGCCAGGCCAGGCCAAAGCTAGGAGCCCAGAGCTTCCTCCAAGTCTCCCATGTGGGTGCAGGAGCCCAAGCA